CCCCAAAACCCCAAAACCCCAAAACCCCAAAACCCCTTTTTATTTTTATTTTTAAGTTACAAAATGTGGTTATTTAGACACCTTCTTGAGCTCAATGAAGTTCTTGGGGAAATATCCTTCTCTAGACCCGATTGAGCCAAACCACCAGTTGGTAGTATCACTTCTAGACACAATTTTGATTCGTTCACCAGCCTTAAATCCTAGATCTGACTTCTTTTGTGGTTCAAAATCGAAAAGACAGACTGCTAGCTCAATCTCTTTCTGTGGCTTCTTCTATAATAAATGAGGATCTGTAAAGTTATCTTATGAAGGATTTTTATCAGCTTACCTTATGTTCAATTTGCAATGGAAGATTAAACCCGACTTTCTTTTCGTTTTCACCCTCTATGTTATCCAAAGTAGAATCCCGACTTGAGATAGGTCAGTAAAGATCATTACTTTTTGTGAATATATTCTCGTTTATGAACTCGAACTCATTCATATCAATACCTTTCTTGTATCTTTGATTAGTCTTGGCTTTCGATCTCACATTTGTGATCTTATTGATAACATTATCCACAACAGTGTCGTCGTCCGAGGTCTGGTCAATTGAGGGGTCTTTCTCATCCTGTCTTGAGCCTATTTCTAATTCCTCATCCTGAGATTCTTGGTTGTTGTTTGTGTAGCGTTTCTTTCCCATAATATCCTCTGGGTGTTCCATTCCCTTATTTTTCGGGCTTTCTGGGATGGCTTTCCCAAAACTCTCATTAATCACATCTCGGAAGGAAGCATCTCTCATTCCATTAACACTATTCCTGAGCTGAGACTGGAGCAAATTATGGCTCGATTTGGTATTGATATTCACAAATTCAGGCGAGAATATTCCTTTCGAGAACTTAGACTCTGGAGATTTGTTGAACTCAAGAGAACTGAGAGATCTCTGTGACTTAAAATTAGACCTTTTACAGCTGTCATTCCTGACAATTAACAAAGCTTCTTCAACCGTTCTAATTAATTCATCATCATTATCAGTATTGTAAGTTTTAATGTCAGGAGCTGTAATCGATTCTTGCATGAGAGACATACTTCTAGTATGAGTATCTTCAGCACTAAGAAAAGATTTTACTTCATTAAGAGCCCTAACAACTACTTTCTGGCAGCTGCTCACCTTGGACTGGGCTGACTTATCATCCCTCATGATTTCATGAAGGGATTCCATAAGCTTGAACTTAAGGTTCTCTCAAAAAGTACCGTATTTCTCTCAATTTCATCAAGATTTTGTTGCCTGAGAATTAGATTTTGCCTTATTAGCTTCAGCCTGGAGCTGAGTAATTTTTGCCTTCATTTCCTTCTTTTCAGATATTAAGACAGCTGTATCTTTCTCCATCTGCTTAAGTTTGGGTTCATTATCATGGAAGAACTGGTAGTACTTGAAATAATTCTCAGTTTCCTTCTCAAATCTTGCAACCATCCTTTTCTTCTCAGCGAGGTGGCTTTCCGCCATCTTCTGGATTATATCCTTGAGTTCTAAGTTAGTCTTTGTGATCTTCTCCAGTTCTTTATCGTAGCCTAAAATATGAGGCAAGAAGTACTCTTTGATTGTGTAGGAGGAGTATTATGGTCAATATTCTCCTTATTTGGTAGGGAGAATTTCACTTTGGGCCTTGGCTCCTCTTCCTCATCTTCTTGATTATTATCAAAGATAGGTTGCTTAATTCTGACCCTTTTGTTCTTCTTTTCCTCATTGTTGTTGTTGAAGAAAGGATTATGCATCTTCTTCTCAGAACTAGGATCGTTAGGAGATCTTGAGGGTTGAGAAATCTTCTTTACTCCAGTCCTTTTTGGACTGGCTATTTTAACAGATTCATGTTTATTAGTTTCCTCTTTTTGGTTATGCCTGATTAATTTCCGATCCCGAGTTGTTTTTTGATGTTTATCAGCTTTAGAAAAGCTCCTTCTTGTAGCTAATTCGTCTATACGCCCTAAATTAGGCGTCTTTGCTCGAACAAATGATTTTGAATTATACTTTTCTTGATTGTATTTAACTCATTTATTCTATTAGAAAGTCAGATTTATTTAACAACAAGGTCAAATTACCATGAATTTTTGTACTTTGGGAGATTTTTCACAAACAGGAGATCTGGTTATACTCTTTACTCGGCTCTTGCTCATAGAGGACACTTTATGATCTCTCTTATATTTGCCAATAATACTGGATGTAAGTGAGCCATGGTTTGAAAATAAAGGAGTCTTGGTATTCTTGTGCTGATTCCGATTCAAATTGTTCTATAGAAGAAATCTGTCAGATCTTAGACAGAGGATATAGCTATACCTTGTATGCCTTCATAATTAAGAATTCAAATTATAGTTTAAAATATGGGGTTTTGGGGTTTTGGGGTTTTGGGGTTTTGGGG